AACAATTTCATTTTCAAGTCAACAATCTTTAATCCAGAGTACCCTTGCCACCATATTCTCTGTCCTATTCTCTCTAGTCCTAGATTTAATCCCCCTGGTCGATTGCGTGCAGCCACAAATGCCCTCCGTATAATTGAGGAGCCTACACACCAAACTTGATATCTTTCTGTAATACTTAGCAAGATTAAAAAAGTGTTGATTCAAATTTTAGAGAGAATTAACCTTTTGTATTTACTATCTTTATATGGCATAACAAACAATTCAAAATATACAACATGTACAACTTATGTTAATGCTTTTCAAAGTTTGCACCCCCCAAAAAAAACTTTTAGAATGGTTTAACGAGTGGGCAACGGATGTATGACTTGTACACTTGAGATTTCCATCTACCTGCCTCCCTTATTATCTCAGAAGAACAACCCAACTCATGTGCAGCAGTGGCTGCCCCTATTCTAAAGGAATGAGCTTTAAATTTCCCCCCAACTCCTATAACTTTTAAGGCTTTTTCCAGAATTGCAGTAAACTGATATCGTGTGATAGGCTTCCCCCCAAAATGACAAAACAATGGCCCCTTGATTTTGGGTCTACCAGACAAGTATTTAGTCATGCATCCCACAGGACAAATATTGCTGCCCACTTTTTGTATTTGTATTGTCACACCTTTCCCATGTTGGTCTGATTTTGATCGGTGGATATTCAAAATTAATGTTCTCTGATCGGATTCAATTTTGATATCAGAAACCTGAATAATACTATGTACATCATTTCCTGTTGATAGAGCAAATTCTCCCACCCGTAAAAACCCCAAAAAGGCTAATGTAAATGCAGCACTAAAAAGGTTTGATTCGTATGTATTATAGCATAGTGTGGGTACCACTTGCACAATTTTTGATAATAATGTGGGCGTAATGGGTAATCTTGTGTCAAGAGGGCTCTTTATCCTTTTCATACCTTCTAAAAGCTTCGTTACAATGAAAATTTTTGTTTCATCCTGAATATTCTTCAACTTGCACTGAAAGCTGATAGCAGCAACATATGACCTAGCAGTTGAATATGATTTGCCTGAACACGACAAGAATGCCACAAATTGTACTATATGATTTAATGGCGGTGGCCAGATTTGTTCATAATTAAAAGAGCAACGAAACTTTTGAAAAGAATCTAATCCAGTACTGTAAGACAATTTAGTGTTTGTGGAAAAGGATGCTTCCAGTAATTTTTCTACTTCAAGCTGTAAATCATTCTCACAAATTCCTCGGGTATGTTTTGTGGCGTCTCTTTTGCATTTGGTGCCAGGTCTCGGAAATGCGTCCACTGTTCACGAGAAATTGCATCTGCTATACTGTTAAATACACCTGGTATATGCTTAGCTTTGAAAATAACATTGTAATTCATTAATTTTAAAACAAAATATCTGACTAATTCAATTGTTCTTTTTGATTTGGAGGTTTGCTTGTTAATAACACTGACCAGTCCAATGTTATCAATGAGAAATAAAACTTTTTTGTTTTGAAGGCAACTTCCCCAAATTTCTATTGATAATACCACAGGAACTAATTCTAAAAAAGTGATATCTCTCATTATATCTTTATCTCTCCATTCCACCGGCCATGCCAAAAATGTCCAGCTACCTTTGAAGTATGCACCACAACCTAACTTATTAGAACCTGCACTATCCGTAAAAAATTCTAAGACATTGGAATTTGTCCACTCTGACTCGGGAAAATATGATACCCCGTTAAATTTTTGCAAGAATTTTAACCACATTTCCAAGTCGCTTCTCATTCCTAATGATATTCTAATATAGTGATGAGGTTTGGAAGCACCACTCATTGCATCATAAAACCTTCTATTAAATGCTCTGCTTGACCTAATCGCTTTACCAAAAAAAATTAAGCATCCCTACCAACGACTGTAAATCTCGCAGGGTAACCTTCTTTTTTCCTAACATGTCCTTTATCATATCTGTCAACATGACAACTTTTGGCTGAGGTATTCTTATTACCATTTCAATAGTGTCAATTTCTAATCCTAAATATGTGATATTTGTAGTACTCAGCCAATGGGACACCAATATCTGTTGTAACACTTTTGAAATTTTCCATCAGGCGACTACATTCTGAGGTTCCCCCTTTCCCAGCAAAAATAAAGTCATCTAAGTAGCTATAGTGATCTAAAGTATCTAAACCAGTTTGAAATTCTGTTAGCCAATGAAGGAATGTGGCAAATGTCTCCCATATTTTACAACTTATAGCACAGCCCATTGGTAAACATTTGTCTATATAATAAAGCCCATCTACTGAAAACCCTAGCAAATCAAAATCCCCTGGATATATTGGTATTAATCTAAACGCACTCTTAACGTCAACTTTCCCCAAAAGAGCCCCTTTCCCTAACACAGAAATCATGTCTACCACTTTGTCAAATGAAGAATAATTTACTGTACATAGTTCTGGATCAATGTAATCATTTATGCTATTTGATTCGGGGTATGACAAATGCGTAATCATTCTCCAACCTCCATCCGATTTTGGAATAATACCAACTGGTGACAAATGAAGATTTGATATGGGAAGTTCACTAAAGGGTCCTACCACCCTACCTAACTCTATTTCCTTTTGTATTTTCTCCATTAACTCATCATGGTAATGCTGTGCTGATATTAAGTTTTTTGAGGACACATGAACCCTTGGCCCCGAGTACTGGAGTTTAAAACCATTTAAAAATCCATCCTTTAAAAATTGGGCTTTACCATGGTCTGGGTAATCATTTAAATGTTTTGAGAGTTGTTCCACTTTAATAGGTGTTTTTCCTAGGTCCCATATTTTTCTGAGGTCTATACTGTTGGGGCCTGGTACTACTGACCCCTGGGACTCGAAAGGGAGGTTGAAATCTGGGTACTCCTGGGGCGAAGGACTTGGCACTATTCTGGTTATAACTGGGAAACCCTTCTTCTTTGAATGAATTATATTGACCTGAGCTTGTTTGCTTCAAGGGACAAGAAGAGATGGGGTGACCATTGTTGCATTTAATACACATGTGTAGATACCCACAACCCTGTTTGTTACAGAAGCCCCTGTAGTTAAAATTGAAACATTTGTTGTGCGTTGTTTGCCCAGGTGAAGATTGGGTTGAGACAGCCTGTGGCGATGGGGCATGCATAAACATAAGCCATAGTTCATTATCTATCCCCGCCCAGGAAATTGATGGATCAACACTTCGTCTTAATCTGAATTGTTCATCATATTTCTTCCACCCCATCCCTCTTGTAGCCCCTAACCTTATATCGTGCATGTATTTAAAGAGACCCTGCACTTCATCTTGATGGGCTGAAGCATAAATGCTACTATAAATCAAAAACGCGTCAGTCCATTTTTCTATTGTGTTAATATTGATTTTAGCTTTTGAACTTTCTTTAGTAACAAGTTATCCATTTTCATTGAAGTAAATTTTTTTTTCTCAGCTGTTTCAGTCATGGATGTATTATCTAATAGTAAACTTATATCAACATACTTAGAATTGACAATTTTTTCTTTGATTTTCTGAGAAACATTGGACGACAACAAAGTATTGACCGAATCAATCATGCATGGTGCTTCATAATCAAGCACCCCATTGTCACCAAGACTACCTGATGTTTCTGTTGTACTAGTAAGGCCATCCTGCTGACTAGTTGTTGGTATATTTTGTGGTTCAGCTGGGGGCAAATCTTTGGGCTTTTCCTTAGTAATAGTAGCAGTGCGCTTTCTTTTCAAAGCACTTCTGGCTGAAGTCTGTGCAATGGTGGATACATCTCCACCTGCTGTCTGTCCTCTAGGCCTAGCATCCCGAGGGGGGGTCTCCGACCTTGGGTTCCCTTCAGTGGCAGCAACCCTCTGTGTTGGATTTCGTTTTCTTTTTGGCATTTCTCATGCAATATAAAAGCTTCACCAATTTATCACCAATTTTAACAATTCAATCTAGTATGGGTTGCGTCCCCCAATTTGTGCGAAACAAACTTGGTATTTCCAGAAATAAATTAATCGTAACTTCCTATATATTCCTTGAATTTTGATCGAAAATATTCCTTATATATGTATTACCGCTTAAAATTATTTCCAAGATTACAAAAACAATAAATTTCCTGAATTCTATATCAGCTAAAGTTAACTTTATTTTTTATAAATCTCCCATGTGCTTATACTGCAGACGACAATCCAAGGTCATCGTGCATTTAATTATAAATTATTTTCCACTGATGTTAATCTTGACTAAAATGTTATCTGAAATTACAAAAGGAGCTCTAACCCGATGTTAATAATGGAATCCCTATACCATTCATTGAACCCGATTTCTTTTCTCATAAAATAAATGCATCTATTTTTGATAATCAAATAGATGTTAGTATTTCTACGTAAAACCTTGTTCAATCGTTTCCCTACTCTATCCCCGGGGGATCATGATTTGAAAAAAAAATTGAATCTACTTTACATTAGAATGCTCTTTGTCATGATCGAAAAAAAAGCGTAGACAATTTAGTGTGTTAATAATGCCTTTACCATTTATTTTGAAAAACATCAGTAAGCATTTGACTGAACTATGAGTTTTATATGATAGTAGAGACATTGTATCAAACAAACTTGCGAAATGACTACTTCAAAATAGTAATATTTTTGTTTCATTAACAAATATAGTCAAAGGTGGACAAACAAAAAAAACTGATGAATTCAAACAATACAGAATAATTCTGAAACATAACTGAAAATGTAAAATTGCGAAAATAGCAAAGCGCAAATCTCTCTCTCTCTCTCTCTCTCTCTCTCTCTCTCTCTCTCTCTCTCCTATTTTCAGCTGTCTGAGAGACATTTAAATAGGTTTCTTGAATCACAAATCTCATCTTTCTTTTGTAAATAAATATTAATGGACAATTTAGAATTCCTTTATTTCGTTTTGAGTTGCCTATTTTCATACTTATAAGCGCATCTCATGAGTCTAATCTTTTAAAATTAATACTATTTTAGTTAACAATAGTGACAAACATGAAGCAAATCTAGACACCAAGACCCAAAAAACAATGAGCGTATTTGACTTTGGAGGACAGTGTGCGTACTACGCTTGTCATCAGATTTACCTGACCAGGAGAGCTTTCTATGTTGTGGTGGTGGACGCCTCTAAACGTCTTGACCAGAAGGTGGATAAGTCAGTGTGTGACCAAGATGGAAGTGTGTTTGCAAAATGGACTTATAAAGGTATTTAATTCTTTAAAATATGATAAATTACATATTTTTTTTTCAAATCAATTTAAAAAAAATGTATAGTATCGAAAAGGAGGAACTTGAGAACTGTGCAAAAATAGATATTCAAGATGTGGTTCACATCAGATGTGGCTGCTAAAAATTCAAAGGATCCATCTTTTGGGATTCCCGTTGGTACTGATTGTGCCACGTAATTACCAGACCTATTTTTTGTATTCATATGAATCAGAATTTGTGCAAAATTTTATACGTGAAAAAAGAACCCTTGCTTTGCCGCTAAGGGACCTGAGTCATCTGCGTTTTTTTCCTCAAATTATGGGTCATAGGGTCAGATAGGAATGAAAACAGTTAACAATGTTATTTTCCTTTGTCAATTTACGAAGGATCAATACATGTAAACTGTGAATAAAGAAATAATCTTGGTGACGAAATATCTCTTAAAAAATCATATTTTTCACTAGAATTTGATATCGATTAAAGCGTACTTACTTTAAATGAATAAATAAAATTAAATTATAAAAACGATTATGAAATACATTTGCAATAATCATATGAAAAGTTGTCTTTGTGGTCTTCTGATAATTTGCCTGTTAGTGTGATTTAAAAAATAACATCTTTTTTCTGTTAACAGATTACTTTCTTTTTTGGATGAAGTCCGTTCATACATACTGTCATGGCCATTTACATAACGACAAAGACAGTGACGTTATTATCATGCTTGTTGCAACACACTGGGAAAAACGTGTTTACAAGGTACATGTACAACAACTTCAGATAAATTTCTTTGCAAGACATTTTTTTTTAAAAAGAAGGTTAGTTTCTATGCAGTGATTTTCATTGTTCTTAATGTGTACAAAGGTATTTATAGTAAATGCACATGGAGAAAAATGCTATTCAGAAAAATTCTCACATTATCGGGAAATTTAACGAAGCCGAGTCAAACTATTTCTACCTTAAGGATTTTGATAATATTTTGATTATAAATTTTTACTGAGGCATTTATTGTTTTAAGATTAAAAAAAAATGAATGTTGATCATCCCGATTTCTTAGGGGGTCATCTCAAAAGTTGTCAATATTTGATTATTGGACCTTATGGGAATTTGCTGGAAAAGCACCAAATAATCACATTTTTTCAAGATTTTTTTTTATATATGCCCTAGGGATTTCTTTTTTCACTTAAGCTATTGAAAATTATTGTAGAAGGTCTCCAAATTCTGAAATTTCGGAAAAGTTCACCATCTAAGTTGGTCTAGGATTTAATTACTAAATTTATTTTTTCAAAGCCCAATACCTCTAAAATTGCCATATTACGGTATAAATAAATATCACTTGAGATTAATTATTGGCGCATGTGATTTTTCGGTGAAACATAGCAATATTTAGATTACTAGTATGTTTCTTTAGCTGTTCTGTCATAAGTTTTAGTATAACTTCCATTGAGTCTTGAACATACAAGCGAGGCATGCGTCATTCTTGAACATCGTGGATTGCTTGGTGACGTTGTTAGAGCCATCTCAGCCTTTTTCTAATTATTGTCGTAAAATCACATTTCAAGACCAGTAGGGGTTACATATATATAATGTTAATTTTGTATTAAAATAAAAATATTTGGCAAAGGTGTACTGTGTCTCAAATGACTGCATGAAATAAAAAATCTGCGCAAAGTCATGTGCACTCGAATTAAACTCGGCCTCATTAAGTCGAAAGTGTACATTTTCATTGTTGTGTCTTAATTTTATTACTTTTTAATGATCTTCTTGTTAAATAGAGGTTAAAAAATATGAATTTTAATTGTATTATTTCAAGCAAATTATGCTCAAACATTGACATTAATACAAATTCTCATTCTTCATTAATTATCTAAATACGATAATTTATACATTTTTCTAACATTTACTCTTGCAGGATGAAGATGATTTTCTAGATAGTTTGCAGAGGGTATTGCCAGCCAATTCTAACCTTGTCCAGTACATCAGAGGAGACAGGTGTTTCTGTACAAATTTATTAAAAGACCCAATAGATGTCTTTGAAAAAGCCATAGTACAGATAGCAGCTAAGGCAAAGTGGAGTGAAAAAATTCCTTCAGAATGGATTTTAACTGACACATTTCAGAAAGAGAAATGTAGGCGAGTTATGAATCTTGAGGAAATAAAAAATCTTTTTAAGCATCTTGAAGATGAAAAATTAGTGCTTGATCTTGCAAATGATATGTTAAGATATTACCACGATGCTGGGAAAATTCTTCACTTTGATGAAGAATATCTTAGGAACTCAGTGATTATTGATGTCCAATGGTTTGTCAATGCATTTAAACTTATTATCACAGACAGGCATCATGTGAAGGGTATTGTCGCTAAGAGACAAGATTGGGAGGAATTTTACAAAACAGGGAATCTAAAAGATTCCCTCCTCGATGACATATGGAAATTTGAAGATCAAAGTGTTTTGGATTCTATCCAAACTAAAATCTCCTCGAAAAATACAAAGTTTGATGAAGACCCCTACTTTCTACTTTACCACAAAAATCTATTATTGTTGTACATGCAACGATTAGGTTTGATATCTAGTGGGATCCACACGCATTATGTTCCTTCTATGAATAAAAAGGACTTTGGAGAAACACAGAAAAAAATAATCGTGGGGTCGGATTCAAAGTCATCAGTTCTTGTATACTTGTTCGACTTCTTGCCATATTTCTTCTTTTATCGTTTAGTCGTAGAATTAATGCAAACCAAAAATTGGGAAGTTCTGACGAGTGAAGGTATTAGTTCTTTGTACAAAGATGCTGCTATGTTCAATCACAAAAGTCATAATATCGCAATCGCTGTAACTCCATCTACAATTCAACTTCAAATATTCCAGTCCGGTTCACAATCGAAAATGCTCCCTGAAGTGACATTGTCTATTCGTAAAAAAATTGAGGTAATATTGCAGAGTGTGACGAAATCGTTCCACCAAAGTCTAGCATACGAAGTTGGATTCATTTGTGATGGAGAAGAAGATCAAATTTTAGGCAGAGAAATTGCTTACAACTTTGTTGAGGAAAGCAAGATGAAAAGTGGAAGAAATATGGTATGCCCTCTGCATCAGGTAGAGGGACTCCACAACATTAACCCTGATTATTTCCTGAAATATTGGAAAAATAATTCATTAAATTTGAGAAATGTTTTATGTCCTTGTTTATAATGCTTTAATCGATGTTGAAGTAATCATATATTTCTTCTATTTCTGCTATCATGTATGTCTTTTTTTTTATATTTTTGTAAAATTATTTATTTTATTTTTATTTGCATATCGTATAAGAGGTTCTTAAATCAAATGATTGTTTTATCAAATAATTGTTTGAACGTACATGTTTCTGTAAAAAATAGAACCTACGGAAAAACAGGCAGGTCCATAAGATGTTAAGTACAGTGTATCTTTAGAATACTCTCCTTCCCTTGAATTCGATTTAAAAAATGACTTGATTTCTCATGTAAAAATCTGAAGAACTACTGATTTTATTTAAAGGGGGCCCGTTTACAGTTGCGTTGTGTTTTATTACGAATTTGTTTTTAATCATTTTAATTTTTTTCTTAATAACAAATCAACCTGTATTTTGATTAGAGTGGTTTCAATATTCGTCGAAAATATTTTTGATAGAACGGATTTACAGTGGACCTTCAGATATCTGGATGCCACTTCACCTTCCAGACTTCTGAGCTCTTCTAGGAATTTCTTAAAGAATTTGACCGCCAGATGAGACTTGCAAGAAGAAATGTGATTCTGCTTGTGTACAACGCTGCCAGCCACAGTCAAGGTGATCTTGTGTTGAAGAATGTGACGACTCTTCATTTCAAGCCTCAGAACACCACTGTCAAAATTCAACCCATGGACGCTGGAATAATCAATGTGAATGTCAAAATGTGAATTTTTCTCAAGCTTCAGTGGGCATCAGGATGGCCATCATATGTTTTCGAAAAGACATCAACAAGCACCACATTAATTGCCATGGGCAAAGGAGGAGCCCACCATGATCATCTTTGGGATATGTTGGACGCAATTTCCTACTGCCAAGGCAGCGAAACAACGCAGAAGAAAATAACTGACTTCTTCGAGCAATAAAAAGAGAGCAAATCTGTTTATAGTGCTTTTTAATTTCATATAAACATTTTATGAATGAATGTTTAGGAGCAGTGCATATGTACTTCAGTTATAGAATTATATATTCAGTTGTAATCAAGTATTTTTTATGAAGTAATGCTTAGTTTATTAGTTTCATGTCCATGTTAAAGTGCTCAGTTTTTAGCTTTACAGATATATTTTTTATTTGGAAAAAGTGTATAAAAGTAATGTTGATGTATATTAGAGATAAAGTCTATCAAATAATAAATTATTATTTGTATATGATAGCATTTTTCTATCGTTATTTTGATATGAAAAACTAAAAATATCACTATACCGGTAAGAGAAATCAACAAATTTTAGAAATCCGTACTCTTAAGTATCCGACAATTTGTCTGGGAATCAAAGAGTCCGGATGAATGAGGTCCCACTATATTCAATTTACTTGCTCTGCATACACCATGAAGACCGGACAAACAATAACGAGAAATGTTTTCGCTTTCTCAAAGATTCTATTTAAAAATACTTTTTATATTTATTTTTAGCATTTCCACAACAAATTTGTGTGTGAATGCTGACATCACCCAGAAATGACTTTCACTTCAAAACAATTATTTTTTTAAGACCAATGTGTTTATTAATCTTAATCGTAAAGAAAAAATAAGCTTTTTAATTGTTACAGCAACATTTTAACAGTCTTACTGCCCTGTCATCTTTTCATTCTACTTGTAAGTTACTTTTACAATACATAGCCAAATAAAAACATATTTATCTTTAACAGTATTTTCTTTTTTGAATTCAATAAGTTATTATAATTCAATGAGAAGTGTCCTTTATAACAGGATTCATCGAAGCCGACTCTTAAAAAACAGCATTATCCTGGAATAATTTAATTTTCTTTGTATTCTAGTCTCTTGCTGGTTGATTTCCATAAGGGAACGTAAATTATATTAGGAATGACTTCAATTCTTGGCCAAATTATTCGATGATAACCTGGTTCGGGTCAGTTTACGCTTTATAATCCCATGGACTGGAAATGAGAGGATTGCATAGATACAGATGATTCAGCTGGTTGGCATACCAAACCAGGTTATCAAGAAATGGTTTGCGTTCTATTTTGGAAATCAACCAATGAGAGACTAGAATATATACAAAATTAAATTATTTCTCAATAACCTAGCTGGTTTGGTATTTGGACACATCCCGTTGACAACCAGTTGAGTCATCTGTATCCATCCAATCCCCTCATTTCCAGTTCTTGGGATTCATGGAAAATTCCAGATTTAATAAATGTTCCTTTAACTTCAAACAGTAGCTCAATCTGACCTCATGTAAACAAACATCATGGCTGCTAGATCTTTGTATTAGTTATTACCTCCCCTTGTTTCATATCACTTCCGTTACAAGGGATGTATTATTGAGCAGCAAACTTGGACTCGTAAAAAGCACCACACCCACAGTTGTCTAATCATTTTAAAATTAAATTATAAAGAATGCCTCTAATTCTTGGCCAATTTATTCGATTCCTTAAATGTTTTACTACAAAATAAACATAACTTGCAGGGAGAAAAGCTTGTAAGTCAACCTTAGGCTTTGAATTTTTACTCAAGCCCTAAAAGAACTTGAGTTATCTTAAACAATGATAGGTCATCGATTTACTCAGTTTAAAAACACGGAAATATATTATCTTTGTAGATGAAGGTATTTCTAGTGACAAAAAATGAAGGTTTTCTTTAAAACATCTGTATATACAAAGATATTAAGTGTTAAATGTCGTATTCTTTTCTATGGCGAATAAACAATGAGTAAAGCTTTGCAACACTAACAGTTTCTATACATGTACAAAGCTTTTGCGCTTTCATATGCGTAGGAATCTCTGGTTACATTAATTTTACAGTCGCCGACAAAGCATACTTGGAAGAATTCACTGGTTACTTTAAAAAGTAACGCAGGTTACTCATCGTAAATAAATTCTACAATGTATGGTCAGAAAATACATGACTGTGCCCCCCCCCCACCCCCACCCCCCAAAAAAATTATTTTGATTCTATTGGGCCTGCAAATGATATGCACTTTGATTGACAATAAAATAATAGCACAAAATTGATGTTGAATGCTTCCTCGTTTTTTTTTATTTAAAAATATTGATATTATCTTTAGTTTTGGTAATGGACTCTATACAACTTCTTTTGGATTCGTATGGAATATGTGTTGGACATGCCGCACAGCCAAATGAACACGTATTCACATTGATTTTCTATCCTCCCTTCCCCCATCTACTTTGAAAAACAACTTTTCTACGAGCTTGTAAGAAGCTATTTTGATTGATTTGTATTGAATGTGATGCACGCCATTAAGGCAAAAGATAAAAAAGTATACATTTTGAAGTACATTATTTTATTGTCTACATAACAAAATGTTTAATTAATTTAATATCCCAATATTGTAATAAAAAGATTAAAATTTGATATGCGTTTGGACGATACTTATGTACTGACGGAAACAGGAAACATGTGAAACATTATTAATCATATGAGCATTCATGTATTCTTCTTTCAATATGCTCAAAGATACCAATTTGAGGAATGAGTACAGTGTGGAGGAAATATCCTCAAAGACCCTGACTTTCTTTGACTATTGAGGTCAGTGTGTCTACTACGCCTGTCATCAGATTTACCTGACCAGGAGAGCTTTCTAAATAGTTGTAGTGGACGCTTCTACGACCTTGACGACCAAGTCGACGATACAGTATGTGATCAAACTGGAAGACTCTTCTCAGGGTGGACATATGGTGGTAAGAAAATATCAAAACATTCTAAAATCTGCACAAAGTCTTCCAATGCCGCTCGGAAGGCCTCGGATATTACCCTATTGTCATCCGGGTGAGTTATCTTTTCTTGGGCGAAGAGTTTCACACTGTGCAGAAAGCTGGGGTTTTAGTTGGATAAAAGCTATTTTCGTTGGATATATCTGGAATATTTTAGCCTAGATAAGTACATTATTTGCGCTAGTTCCTTTCAGGATTTGTGTAACTTTTCTCAAATAAGTTGTTTTTTGACTTTTTCTAAAAATCTTCTGCTACTTTCGATTCTTCCCTTGTGTACTTTTATATGTGATGTAGAGAACAGAGTGGATAAGATGCCCCTGTGGATAAACCAAATATATCGATGATACAATGTATCCAATATATAAATATCAAATATTAGTCCCACCTGTTTATTAACTTGGCAACGAAACTCCCCTCCTCAACGAAAGATCGCATCAAGGGAGATAATCTCGAAACTTGCGAATTCATACATATTGCGAAAAAGAAAAAGAAACGACGTATCGCCTAATTATCCTCGTTTTTGCTACGCAGTGGGAGAATAAAAATACAAGAGGTTTTGTACTCTCTCTCTCTCTCTCTCTCTCTCTCTCTCTCTCTCTCTCTCTCTCTCTCTCCAAATTAGAAATATGTTTTAGGGGTTCTAATGAAAAATGTGTTTAGTATTTTAAGTATGTTCTATATGCTATCCATATGTCAAAACATGTGGTACATTCAATATGCGTATGTTATACTTTCCAAATCAAAACATTTCTACGGTATGATTAAACATGTACTTGGGCTGTTCAATAAATAATGTCATCGGTGCTCAGAAAGAAGCAAAAGACGCTTTTCAATGTTTTGGTCTTGATAATTTAACTTAATATTCTTTTTCAAATAAAACCCATGTCGATAAAATTTTTATCCAACTTTTGATTGTTTTAAGAACTCATTTTTGGGTATGACCCTTAGAATATTAGAAAATGGCAGATTTTATGATATCCTGGACTAGTGTCTTCGAACTGAAAGGTGTTTTTTCAAGTTTGGAAAATGAAGCAGGTAAAGAGGCAAAAGAGTTGGCGAATATTGTTAGTGTGACAAAAAATTTACTATCTGTTTATCCAAAAAACTCATTTACTCTTCATGGCGTGCGGGTTTGGACGCTGTCATGAAGAAATTTAATGTAGTGGATTTCTCTTCCTCTCATTAACTTTTCATTTTTTGAAATTGCTTTCTAGACTCTTCAAGAAATTATACTGCCTCCCCGAATACGAATTTAAAGAAAAGACCACTTATATTCAAAAAAATTGCATATGAAACTGTCCTTTTGCTCTTGCAATTCTTTGCTCTTCTCAGACATTTGCTGTTTTTGTCAAGTGCATCTTACTGTAAAAATGTTTTGAGGGTAATAAAGCAATGGATTCATATTTCAATATCTGTTTGAATTTCAAACAAACTTGGATAACTACAATTTTTCATTTAAAAAAAAAAGATTTGATATTCTTACACGCTGTCTTTATCACTCATTTTTTTATAATATAGGGTGCCCTTTGAGTACAAAGCTTTTTTACTGTCAAACGTTTCTTAAAACAATGTGAACTACTCATGAAATGATATTTATTAAATATGCTATGTGTCTTAAAGTCAATCATACATCATCAGTGACTATTCGTTGAAAATGGGCAGACAGTACATGTTTTGTTATAATTTTTGTTGTCAAGGACAGTTCCCATATTTCATGCCCATTATATATATTTTTATCATTTAAATCCGCCTGCAATTTTTTCTATAAAACAGACATTGGTTGTCGTAAATAATAAATATTTAGTGAATATTTCTTTGGGATTCTTAACGAGTTTTACATTAGCTTGAATGCAGCGTTTAATTTACTGATCTTTACCATTCATTTTACATGCAGTGTCTCGAATAGCCCTCGTTTCCCAGCTTCTCACAATGAAACTATATATGTGATGAAAAGTGGTCACATAAATTGTTATAAATTCATTAAAGATTCAATAATGTGAAAAAGTCAAACTTAAAAACATTTTTTTGTTTGTATCATCTGTCCTTAACTGATATTAGAAAAATATAATGTTGTTTAAATCTATCTGTTGAGGACATTAAGATTATTTATGTAGACTTGTCACGTGATGTCGAGGTCAAATGATGTTAGCAAATACTAGAATACTCTAGCAGT